TGAAGGTGGTTAGAGCGCTAGACTCGCAATCTGAGGGTCACGCGTTCGAATCCCTGTCACACCAAACATGCTCGCCCTTTCAGCCGTGGGGGCGTTATAATGTGACGGTCAATCCCACTATTCGTTGGTAAAAGAGTAGCCCAAGAGTTGGCGGTGGGTGGTGATGACTAGCTGCCTTCCCTCTAGTCTTACACTGCTAAATTAGGGACGGCTAGCGCAGATAGCCCTCATGTAGCATTGCGCGAAATTCAAAACAAACAAACAATCATTGTTATTATTTATATCTGGCCCTAGTGGCCTAGTGTTTAACGTATCGGACTGGGGCTTCAATGATATTGGGCTTGAGAAGCGGTATTCCCAAACATGCTTTTCACTTTCAACTTTAAGTGCGTTATAAAAGTGATAACCAATACCGCTGTTCGATCAAGATTAGCAGCTTGAAGAGGAAGGTGCTGCCGTCTGGTTTCATTTAACAACACTTGTAAACACTAGTGTTGAGAAAATAATTGATATTAAATCTGACGTCTATTTCTTGAATGGTTGTAGAATTGAAGAAAAAAAAAGTTTTGTGATATTTAAGAAACTGTCGAATTAATCAGAAAATAATCTCTAAATCTTCATTCATTTTGAGTTTTGATGCAAACAGAGAATTACTATATATATATTGTTCAATTTAAAATCAAACAAGATCTCTTCAGAGGAAGGGGAGGGTTATTTCAGATTGTGTTTTTTGAATGAAAACAGCAGTTTAAGGTACAATTATTTACTTTTAATTTAAGGTCTGTATGGTTTGACAGAAGGTTTCACTTGATCAAAGAAATGTTTTGCTTTAAGGCATTTGATTAAATTAGACGTAACAATAGCACCACTGCTTGTCGTAAGAGAATTATAAAAAATCTGAGATTTTCAAGTATTTTAGAGCCTCATTAAGTCAGACGTTGTTTTGTTATTGTTTTTCTATTGAGCAATTAGTCCTGAGAAGTAAGCCTCGACTGTTTGGAATAAAATGAACCCATTTAATGGTTTTATTCCGAGAAGAAAACATGTTCTTCTTGCTTTAACTGAAAAATTTTATACCAACTAGATTTTTATGTATTCTTTCGTTCATGTCTTTGAAGGTAACATCTTTTAAATTCTATTATTTAAGAAAGGTGTCTATATAGGCCTGTAGTAATTTTTAAAAAACATGGTCAAAGGTTAAGGCTATAAAGTTGTAATTTTTGCAATGATTTCAAAACCATCCACGACGCCAAACATCGTTGTTAGCTTTCGAATTGTGTGTTGTTGTTGTTGTTTTTACTTAGAAAAGCTAAATAGCAAAATTCCGGGAAAAACTACTCAGATAAATTGTTCTCATGGAGTTCTGAGTAACCGCTACTGTTCTCTTTCTATCCAAACTTTTGTCTTTCTTTTTTTTTTATTAAGTTGATCCATACGTAATCTTAGCGTGAACTAGTCTAGGTCTCAGTGTAGTAAAAAGTGAAAATTTCCTTTTCCCCTAGCGGAATGATAAAACTTTCTTTTCTTTTAGGGAACTTAGATTTTACTCGACTTTTATGTCTTCTGCCACAAGAATTATACTCCATGAGCTCTGTATAAATGTTTAATGTAATGCTGAGAGTTGCACTTTTCACTGAAGGCATCGTGAGCTTACAGAAGCTCCCTCTACCCCCCAACAAAGGAACAATATCTTATTTAACGTAATAATTTTGTTGTTGTATCTTAAAGAACATATGAGGTGAAAAGATCTTTAATAAGAAAATGGAATACAATCAAACAAATACCTAGATAGATGGAAGATTAGACGCTGCTTGAGTATTCACTATTAGGATGGTTTGACAGATAATTACTCTAGTTAGTCATATATAATTCTTAATATATGTGTGTGTGTGTGTATTTAAATATATGTATATATACATATACTATCAGATTAATGTGTGAGTCAGTTGGACATGAGGGGAATTACACACACACACACACACACACACATGCTGCTTACTGTTTTATTCTACTACCGACTAGCGTCGATTCGCAGCAGAGGTTATCCAGAAGAATCAATACGAGTCACGTGATGAAACTGAGGTACAGAGGGAGAGAAGGGAGAATGTTTACTGGGGAAGAAGAGAGGGACCTTTGATATTATTCTCCAAAATCAGTTCTCCTACTGGTCTTGTTTCCGGCACTTTCATTGGAAATTACTGAAAGGTATCACAATTCAATCAGAAAAGAATTATTATTATTAAACAAGAGTCGGTAGGGGAGGATTCAAACCAACTGTCACAAGCTAGCATGCACGCGCGCGAACGTGTCTGGAAATAGGAGTGGAACAGTTATAGTAGTTCCATCAAATATCGGGAAATAGGAAAATACTTTAAAGTATTTGTCATAGGTCAAGTTCTTCGAGAAAGCATATAAGGTGTTAAGCCTAGCTTGGAAAAACTTCAAATGTAATGGTTAAAAAGATTTGTGACACTTTCTCACGAAACTACTGAAATTGATAAGAGTGCAATAGCAAGCGGGAGACCGACGGAGGAGCTTATGTAGCATGGAGTAACGTAAGTCTCTGAATCATATCTAACATATCACCAAGGTACTTTTTAGTGATAACACAATGGAGTTGAGTTAGTCACTTTTTGCATTATAGTAGTTTGTTGACAGTATTATGAATTTTTGAATGTGAGAGTAAGTGTTATTCTAAGACTTTTCGCCGAAGTAGTTTTATTGATAAGAAATGGAGTTTAGTATTTAGTTGATGGACTAATGAATATTTAAATATGATAAAGTGTTAATCTCAGATTATTATCGGGATTTCAATAAAACTGAGTTTGAAAATTAATGTTAGACTCTCCGTCTCCCTGCTGTTAACTAATTAGAAAATGGAATCTGAAAAGACAGACAGTATTAAAAACCAGTTTACCCAAAGGGCAAATTAAATAACTGGGAAAGGAAAATGAGAGGATATTAAGTAATGATATTATTACCAGAACAATTTTAGTGGTGTGGCAATGAACTTAGAGGGCATGTCTTATAAGTGTGTGCTTTCTACCCATGAAGAATCTTCTTGTTACACTGAGACAGGTCTCTGAAATTAGGATAAAGATAATAATTCTTTGCAGAATGCATACGAACAATAGTCATTAGTGTGCAAGATTATAATGATGTGTGTTGGTTTTTATTATACATTATGATAACGTGCAGATGATGATAAATGTGTTAGTCTTTATTATGCTAATTATTGATAAGTTTGGTAATACTTAGTATGTCAGATGTTGATAATATGTGCTTGTTTTTTGTGCTAGATAATGATAATGTGTATTTGTCTTTCGTATGCCAGATGTTAATAAGTGTGTTAGTCTTTAAAGTGCCAGATGTTGATAAGTATACTATATGTTGACAAGTGTGTTACACATCTTTAGTATGCCAAATGTTGATAAATGCGTTGGTATGTAGTATGTCAGATGTTGATAAGTGTGTTACACATCTTTAGTATATCAGCTGTTAATAAGTGTGTTATTTTTTTATGTCAGGTGTTGATAAATGTGTTAGTCAGATGTGTTCTCTACTCATCCAAGGTTAATAACTATATTAGTCTCTCTGACAAGAGGACCCACATTCAGTCCTTCTCAGGGCGTACCTAAAGAAGGCAGTAGAAAAGCAGCTGAAACATGGGATATAAGCTAATTACTAATTAAAAGTAGTAATAAAAGCACTAAGACTAAAAATGCAGAAGAATGTGTGGTAAAATATCCAAAAAACTGAAAACGTTTCCCCATTTACCTTCATATGTAAATATATTTATATCAACGTTTTTAAAAATACTAAAAAAATAATTAACTGGATTAGATTTGTCTCTGTTGATTTTAAGGCAAATAACTGCTTTCGTTGTTTATTTTCGGCAAATTTTAAACGTTGATACGAGAATTATAATTAAACTTGTATTATCATTTATGTATGAATAGTCAACGTATTATGCTTCTTTCCATATTTTAGCCATCTGTTTGTAGTTTTATTGATTTTCAGAATGGTTTTTAATTTACGCTTCTATTTGCAGGCCTAGCACGAAGTAGTGTCAATTTTTGATAAAAATGTTATCTTTGATTTTGATGTTAGATGGTGTTTTGATTGTTGAGGCTCCGATTATTATTTTAGTTCCATTACTACCTTATGTTTATTTCTTTTATTAATGTTACTATATCGTGCGTTAAACTATGAAGCTAATAATTTTTATCCCTTTGTTGTTTATAGGTTGTATTTTTATAAGTAGCATACATACACTGTATGGTTAAAATTTAAACTATTGGTCGGTGATAAGTATTGCATTTTAAAGATGTTCAAGTGACCAGAGAACTTATTACTTCGAATGAGATCGTATGCAGTTTATTGGTTAAACAATAGATTTTGTTTGACATCAAAATATAAACAAAAATAGTTTACAATTTGTATTTTTTTACTTGTGATTCTTTTGTCTCAAGCATCAAACACCCACCGTTTATTTGTATTTAACAAATAGGAAATAAAGAGTATTAGCGCCCTCTCAGTCCGGTCGTATCTCACATATATTCATTATGTCACAGTATAAACAGTGTGCTCATAATAGGTATACAAAGCATACTAGGAATCCTAATCATTATATATTAATTTGATGTATTTTATACAAAAACGTTGCACATTAGTTTCATTATCTTATACACAATATAGTACAGTAGTTTGGCGTAATTTTTACACAATACTATACATTAGTTTCTTGTATTTTATCAGGCAGGCAGTAGCACTGCCTATGTAGGGATGGTTCGGATTGTTTATCGAAATAGTATTTTAAATATCTCTTCAACAGGTCATCAGAATTTCACAATACTATATAGTGTTTTTTTATAACAACATCTATGTAATGAATGAGTTACAAGTTCTGGGAATTTCTGTAAATGTCATAGGAAAAAGTTTGAATTTCTTGTTCTCCTTTCTTTTGCTTCTTTTTTATATACATTATAACTCAAAAACCAAAACAATGCTGTCAACCTGTTTCACTGAGGTGACATAGTTTGAAACGGAGTATCCGCTTTTATAAGTATTATTAAGAACTAGTGGTAATTTTAAAAAATCATAATTCTAGTGTAAACAATGTTATCATTACCCCTTACAGGCAGCTTTCGTACAGAAATTTGGTGTTCCTAAAGCTTAAGTACGGGTTGAAACAGGAATTACCAGCCGATAATAGATAAACAATAAATATTACAGTTGGAACATCATTGTGCTTAGATATAACTTTCCTGTGTCTATTTAAACAATGCATTAAAACAAACAGGCAAAGAAAAACTTTTCAAAAAACGAAATAAGTGTAGGGATGGCTAACATCAATTCTTCAAAAACAATGCAAACAAGAGAGTAGGGATGGCATTCACATCATCTCTACATAATAGCACAGTCATGAATTAACATATATAGAAATATTTATAACTATTCAATCACAACTGACTTTAATTCAGCCTATTTTTATCTGTTAACATTCTACTATACTGTGCGCTGTGCTATTATGTTTGGCTGATGCAAATGCCATCCCTACTATCTTGTTTGCACTGTTTTTTGAAGGATTGATATTAGCCATCCCTACATTTACTTCCTTTCTGAAAAGTGTTTTTTTACTTGTACACAATATAGTACAGTTACAGTAGTTTGGCGTATTTCGTACACAATACTGTACATTAGTTTTGTATTTTATATACTCATATTGCGTTGGATAATTTTCAGTCACCATCTTCGTATTACATGGAAAATATAATACAGATAATATATATAAATGTACGATTACAGTTTTATTTTTTTTTCTGTGATGACTGCGGCTGACATCTGTCCTTAATTGGGTTATGGACGGATAACTGGCTTAACTTCTTTTTTCTTTTCGAATGTAGATTGTGAAGGAAAATTGAACAATTGTATAAATGATATACTAGAGCACCAGGCCTAACTTATGGCCGAGATGTAAGTGAAGAGGAATAATAAAATGTAATTACCGAATAAACAAACCCGGTCCAAGAGTTGAAAAATATTGATTCCAAAATGCATAAAATTTGTTTCGTGACAGTTTGTGAAAGAAAACGGCCAATTCTAAAAAGTCTGTATCTGCATTTCTTGAAGGCAAACGGGTAATTACAGTAAAATACTTATGTACACATGAAATAAATTATTTTTGCACAACATAAATAGAAATAAAAATTCTAAAAAACCCGTGCTTACACCAGAAAGAAAAAGTCATTTAATACCAAAGAAAATGTTTCTGTGCAACGTGAAAAAATAAACTAATTCTTAAGAATTGTATGTACAACATTGATTAAATGATTAATTCTAAAGAATGTGTTCCTGTACACGAAGAAAAAACTCCGGTTATTTCAAAAGAATTCATTGCTGTATAACATGAATGAAAACGGTTAATTCTAAGGAAACAGTTTCTGTACACATATACATACATATAATTTATAGATAACAAAGGATCTGTTGGTCCATTTAGATCATCCTATACACTATAATAAGCCCTAAAATAAAACAAACATTCAAAGCCAGTCGTTATCATTTAAATATTTGTCAAGCCTTCCTTTAAACTCCTTACATTAACTGCATCTACCACATATGCAGACAACCCATTCCAAAGAAGGCCAACCACACTGCTAGCAAAATAAAGCTGTCTTATTGAAGATCAATCTTACCCTACCAAAATTCATGTTTGTGTTCCCTAGGCTTACAGTTCTTACCATTAAGTACTAAAAAAAAAAAGTGATGCATCAACACCATCAATTCCCTTATCAATCTTAAACACCTCAATCAGATTCTCTTAACTCTTCTTTTTCTTCAAGAGAAAACAATATCAGAGTCTTAGCCTATCCTCGTATGACAATCTTTCCATCCTAGTAGCCCCTCTTTGAACCCTTTCCAACAATTCAATGTCATTTCTAAGGTAAGGAGACCAAGACTAAACACAATACTCCAAATGCAGCCTAAACAATGACCTATACTTTACTCTTTAGATTTGTGTTCAATATTTCTGTAACTACAATTTAAAATTCTGTTTGCTTTGCCACTAGCAACAACACATTACTTGGATTGCTTAAAAGACTGATCAATAGAACACCAAGACCCTTTTCTTCCATAACGTTATTAAGATTAGTTCTATTAAAATTGTAAAATTATACTTTAATTCACATTGTTGTGTCCCATCTTCCATTTATTCACTTACTCATCTAATAATTCACATCATTTTGTAAGCAGCAGCAGCATCCTCGTAGTCAGCAACGCCCAAAACTTTGATATTATCAGTAAATTTAAATATTTTAATAAGCCTTTTATGTGTCACCTTGTAGAACCTGGAAATCGAGATACACCAAATCTACACACGTACTCTCATCTACATGAGCAGTAACCTCTTCAAAGAATGTTAAAATATTAGAGTGGTAAGACATTCCCATACTCAAACCATACTGACTATCCAACTAAATTTTAAACTTTGTTAAATTACTTTGTAATGCATCTTTTATCAGGCTTTCGAAAACTTTTCCCACTACTGATATAAAACTAATAGGTCTATAATTACTGGATCAGTTTATCACATCCTTTGAAAAGAGGAGCAACATTAATCAACTTCAAATCTTTTGGCACTTGCCCACTATTGAAGGACTTAGAAAAATAGAAGCATGTAGTTTACATATTTAATAATTAACCTCTTTCAAAACCCTTGGGTAAATATTATCTGACCAAATTGCTTTATCATTGTTTAACTTCTCAATTTTTTTATTAAAAAGCTCAAAATTAATGTGGTCATCTTGTTTGGTTTTGTTTACATCTGGCAACTGTTCAGAATGAGAAATATTGCTTAAATATTCATTTGTAAAAATTAAAGTAAAAATAGAGTGTAATAACCTAGTCATCCTATTATCATCAGACATTAGCTTCCTATATCATTCCTCAAAGGCCCTACTCCCATCCTAACATTTTGCTTGCACTTAATGTGTCTGAAGAAGTCCTTAGTACTAAGTTTAATATTTTCAGCCAACCTGTTTTCATACAGCTTATTATTATTTCATACTTTCTAGTTTGAGCAACTTTCTTGATCTTCTATAATATTTCAATTTCTCAACATTATAGTTAACTTGAACTTCTTGAATTTATAATGCTTGTCTTTAATTCTATAATTTATATCCTTTGTGAGCCAATACTTTTTCTTGTAGCCATTTTTTCTATAATGAACATACTTATCTTAAATATTTAAGAATTTATTTAAAACTTTTTTCCAGATTTGATCAGTAACTTCAATTAGTTCAGCAGATACTTCATGTTTTATCTCTTCAAATTTTGCTTTTTCGAAATTAGGAAACAAAATATCACTATATCTTCTCTCCAAATGCCCCAAAACATCAAACCTAATAATAATAAATTGATAACTTGCACCCAGATTCCTTCCAGTCAACCATTTCTATGTTAGAAGTTAACAATATATTCTAAATATGATTGTTCCTAGTAGGTTCCCTAACCAACGGTGAATAAATCCACCCTGAACAGTTTTTAAAACCGTCTCCTTCATAAATTTTACTCTAATTCTTTTTTCAATCTATGTGCTTGAAATTAAAATCATCCATAATTATAACCTCATTAATAGTTGAATTATGTATCTCACTGTAGAGTTTCTAATTAGTTGCATCAGTTTCTTCTGGTAGTCTGTAACAAGTTCCATCTAAAAGCCTTCTCTCCTTATAACCACTAACAGAAACCCAAATAGATTCAACCTCTTTGTTATTAACTTTGATATGCTCAATCTGAACAGGCTCTGATTCACATTTTACATATAAAGCCACTCCTCCCCCATTTATAGTATTATATCCCTGTTAAACAACCCACAACACTGTATTTCAAATAAATTCATGTCATAAAATTTGTCTACATTTAGCCAAGTTTCAATTATCCCCATTATATCAATATCCTTTTTTCAAGCTAGTGTTTCAAAGTCATCCTTTTATTTCTTATACTTCGAGCATTACAATAATAATAGTTTAGCCTACCATAAAAACTACTTTTGTACTTTGTTACTACATTATACTTTTCTCTACATTTTTGTTTCATTATCCTGGCCCTTCCCACGTTTAATCCTGGTACAAAGCTGCTCTTACCGTTGAGTTAATAAAATAAATTGATTAATTTTAAATAATTCGCTTCTGCAAACGAAGAACGAAACCAACCAACTCTAAATAATCGGCTGCTGTACTCGAAGAATTCTAAAGAAATATTTTCTGTACAGCATGAAAAGAGCGATTACTACTAAAAACTCGCTTTCTTTGTAACATGAAAGAAAATATTAATTGTAAAAAATTTTGTTGTACAGCATGAACAAAGATTCATTATAAAGAAAATGTTACTGTTTTTATATGAAATAAAATTGTTTATTATAGTACACTAACTCTGTGTTTGTATCACAAGTAAGGAAATGATTAGTTCTAAAACCAGACGTTGTCTTTGATCATTTCACATGTGATTTCTTAAAAATCTTCAATAAATCCTTGAGTTAGACAGCTTTGTAAAATTACACGGTGTCACAACATTGAGGTAGCTTAAACAAGAAAGAATTCTTACCCAACAACAAGGCCTGGTAGCTATGGCTTTCGACTCACAGTTATACTCATGGTTTTCATTCTAAAAAGTTTTGGATACACACGCGTGTGTATACTTGTATGTGTAAAGGATTTATGCGTCATATTATTCTATTGGATTTCTTATTTGTTAAAAAAAATGCACACAAGAAACAAAGAAACTGAGCTTTACGTCATTAAATTCTTGGTTGTCCGATTATTCAGATTCCACTTCAAATTTTGCATTGATTAATCTAATTTTTATTGTTATTATTATTTTGTGATCCAGGACTTGGTACTATGGAGCATGTGCAACAAACACTGTGCTGCATTGCTTCTGCTTCTGAAGTCCGAAAGTTGTTTAGTCCGGGCTTCTGTTTACTTTCGTTGCTGCAAAGCAAATAGGAGTTTCTGTTGTCAAGTCGATTAGTGAAGTAAAATAAAGATAATATTAAAAACAATAAAAAGAAATCAGTTTAGTGAAAAAAAAAATTATATGACGTTGTAATATTTGGAAAAAGAAAACGTATCCATCGGGCTAAGCTGGAGAGGATTAAACTACACAATTTAAAACATATACAAAGGATATTAAGATTATAGCACAACATTTTCAAACGTATTAACATTAAACAAGGGATATAACATCTTCGAACGTAATTAAACGAAACAAGGTCATGAATTATATAGTTTCGTCAGTTTTCTTGCATCTAAATCTCTGGTTTATCGTGTTTGGTAGCCTGTACGATCGACAAAGTTTAGTTGCTAATTAGTTATTATGTTTTTATATTACCACTAGATACTAATTATTAATTATTTAATTACATTTGGATGATAATCTATTGTCATTTTCAATGGAGCTCCTGATAAGGACTGTATGTGGTGGCGAGAGTTGGGACTTGATCCTGGGTTTTCCTTGTCAAAAAGCAGGTGCAAATACATTCTTCAGGCTTTTGCCTTTTTGGAACATCATTCCACTATATTATTTGGATGGCTTTAAGAAAAATATCCAAGTTTGCTAGCTTCTGGTAAGTTGGAGGAATGATTTATCAGTTAGGTGGATGTAGGAGATCTTTTATCTATCTTCTTGAGTGGATTTGTTTTGTGGTAATCCATATTATTATACGACCTTCTTCTCCGTCATGATAGGCTGTTGTAAAAAAAGATTGGTATTACAGAATCTTGTACGTCTATTATGCTTCTGAACTCTTACTTTGGTGGTTTTTGTTTCTCTAATGTTTTGGAGTTCACATTAACAATGGATGTTGTAAATAATGATTTTGCTTTCCATTGGATCTTTAGGTGATTTGGTATATACTTACTGCGATCGTATTATGTTATGGCTTCTGAATGCTGTTTTAAACTTATTCTTTGAAGGTTTTTCAGAGAAAACTTTGACATAGGAAAGTATGGCTGCGTGATATATGGGTAAGAATGAGAGTTTCTTCTGTGATATATGGGTAAGGTATGTTAGTGAGCATCACCTATAGAAAGGAGAGTTTCTTCTGTGATATATGGGTAAGGTGTGTTAGTAATCTATATGACCTTATGTAATAAAACTAGCATATTTTATGTGACTTTATGTAACAAAACTAGCTTATTCTATATGACTCTGTGTAACAAAACTAGCTTATTTGATACCACTTTATGTAACAAAACTAGTGTATTTTATATGACTCTATGTAACAAAACTAGCTTATTCTATATGACTCTATGAAACAAAACTAGCGTATTCTATATGACCTTATGTAACAAAACTATCTTACTTTATGTGACCTTATGTAACAAAACTAACTTATTCTATACGACCTTATGTAAAAAACCAGATTATTTCATGTAACCTCATGTAACAAACCTAACTTATTCTATATAACCTTATGTAAAAAACTAACGTATTCTATAGGAGCTTATGTAACAAAACTAGCGTATTATGTATGACCACAAAAATTTTCTTGTTCCGTTAATAAACACTTTATTCATTTAATTTTTATAGATTAATCCTCGAAATGGTAAAATTTGTAACACGTGGAGTTGTTTTCGTAATGACTTCAAGAGATGGGCTGTAACTTGATACTTTTCAAGACAACAGAAAGTTTTATTAAATTACAGAAGCTTTTGTGTGGTTTATTACAAGTCATGTAAAACACCTAATCTATTATTCCCAGAAATTTTCAAAGGCTGCGTTAGTAGCAGAAAAGAATGCAACAGCATCACAGTCTGTTAAAATTCTTACCTTTTGTCTAATTTTCAGTGTTTTTGTAGATTCGTTTCTCCTTCGTGGTTTCTTTGGATAAAAATGAACGAAAGAGAAACAGAGGAATATCAACAATCTAATGTATCTCCCAAGCCTACTTGCAAGACTCCTGCTGGGAAAACTCAGCAAAACCCTTTTTGTAAGAGAATACTCTTGAGGACGTGGCTGGTGACTGCGATCTTTTTATTCGCCGCAGGAATCGTCTTACTCATTTTTGGGGCCATTTACTGGAAGAATAGTGTAGGAATTTTCCTAGGAGGCGCTCTATGCCTGGTCTTAGCTGTGCCTGTTACAGCATTTTACTTTTGGTACACTCGTTGCTACAGTGATAATCAGAAAACTCCACAACATCTGGAAAGCAAGCAACCATCAATGGAGAAGGATGTATCGACGGTTGGGACTCCTGATCTCTACAAACAGAGCTCCACAGCACCGAAGACTGAATCTCCCTCGATACCTCATGTTGTTATGACTCCTGTTATGTCACTTCAAAAAGCTGATGAAAATGGACGAATTTCTAGAGACACTAGCACATCACGTGACCCAGAGAGCAACAAAAGTAGTCTTACATCAACTCCTGACATTTTAGGTAGAAGGTAAGAATATGTTGTTAGTTTCTATTTTAAGTAGAAAGGAAGACTATGATGTAAGTTTGTATTTTAAGTAGGAAGGGAAAATATGCTGTTAGTTTCTATTTTAAGTAGAAAGGAAGAATATGCTGTTAGTTTCTATTTTAGGTAAAAAGGAAGAATATACTATTAGTTTCTGTTTTTGGTAGAAGATAAAAATGTACTATTTATTTCTAATTTAGGTAGAAGGGAAGAATATGCTGTTAGTTTCTATTTTAAGTAGGAAGGGAAAATATGCTGTTAGTTTCTATTTTATGGTAGTAGGAAAGAATATGCTGTTAGTTTCTATTTGCAATCACGCTACAATCTAGAAGTGTACACAGCCTTTTATTCAGAACATTATCTATCTCAGTATTTTTCTGTCACGGGTCAGATGCAGCCTTACTGCTTTTCCTTGTCCCCACAGATATAAAAGCGGCTGTTTATTCCATTTTCCAAGTAGTGAAAATAAAAGCACATTACTTTGTTGAAATAGTTATTCCAGGCTATTAGTGATAAATAGGGGTGTGTAACCAGTAGAAATCAAGAAAGAAAGTTATAGCAAAGAGAGATGTAGAATTTTAAGATTTATTGGATCCATAACTAGTAAGACATGAGCATAAAGAAAACTGATTAGTTTTGTCCGTTTACGATTCACTCACGTTTCAGAGTCAGTATTTGCACATTGAACTGTGTGGTCTTCATATAAAGTAATCTCTATCTATATGTTTGGGCTGGACGTGCTCTAGCGTTTAGTAAACACGATCAGCCCTTTTACTGTGGGCGCGTTATAAGAGTAACAACCAGTCCCGTTATTTGGGCCAAGGAGACGGACAAAGCCCTTGTGGGGCAGCAGATGCTGCTAGCCATACTCTCATTGGGCATTTGTTGAAAGTTAAAGATGGCTATACCTGAATCCTAAAGCTCTATTATTTGACCGTTTGACTGACATGCGCGTGAGGTGCTGTTCACGTTGAAAATTCCATTCCTTCTCTTTCTCTAATGAGTTTTTTTTGGTCGGGTAGACAAGCTAGGGAGAGCAAGATATCATTAAAAAAAAAACGTCCCCTCCCCCGTGGGTGAGCGGTAAACTTATGGATTTATAACCAAAAATCCGGGGTTCGATTTCCCGTGATGAACCTACTTCAGATAGCTTGTTGTATAGCTTTGCATTAAGAAAACAGCAACAACAACAAATATAAAGAAATTTCTGTATAACAGGTAGTGTTTGTGTGTTTCCTTAGTAAGGCGTTCTATGTTCTTTATTTATTGTTTGGGTTTCTGGGATATTAGAATTTCGCGCAAAGCTACACGAGGGCTATCTTCGCTAGCCGTCCCTAATTTAGCACTGTAAGACTAGAGGTAAGGCAGCTAGTCATCACCACACACCGCCAACTCTTGGGCTTATATTTTACCAACGAATAGTGGGATTAATCGACACATAATCAAGCCCCCACGGCTGAAAGTGCGAGCATGTTTGATGGAACGAGGATTCGAACCTGCGATTCTCAGATTGCGAGTCGAGCGCCGTAACCACTTGGCCATGTCGGGCCCTATTTAGTGTTACTTCCACTACTTAGTATATTTAATGTCATTATTTTTTACTTTGACTTATTATTATACTTTTATTATAAAGGCTGTTTTGCATTATTAGCTTAAATTGTATACTTAGCATTATCCTAAGTCTCCTAAGCTAGTCAAACATTGTGAAATATTGGGATTTCGGCCGAAAGTATCGCTAACAGCGAAGGTACCCAACTAATGAAACAATGCGCTCTAGCCTTTATAAGTATATAGACGTAAGAAAATTATACTTAATTAGGTACACTGATGATTAGTTGATTTTTAGTTTCGCTCTAAGTACGTAGCTTACTCTGATTGGGAGTTATTATTATTTGTCTAGAAGCTTGCGTTATTATCCAGTTGACTAACTCTAAACAAACTGTTACCAGCTGTAATTTTTAAGAACAAAAATAATGCATATTGATCTTTTAACATTATTCGTTATACAATATTCGCTTTACTCACGAGTTTTTATAACGAGACATATCATTCTCACCATAGCCTGATGTGCAATCGACTTTGAACCGTCTGATTTTAAGAAGTATTTGGTTATTAATTATTTAAAAAAAAAGCATTATAACACAGTTTTATGTCTATATATAATCTTTATTCTGTATTCTTGAATGTGTATCATCTACGTTCATGAGCTGTTTATTTCAAAGATGTACATATTTTTTTGTTGGGCTTACTTAACGATTTTAGTAACTATTACAAAACTGAAAATATTTTCGTAAAGTGCAGACATTACTATTATTTGCTGGATTAATTCAAACCCCGATAATCATAAGATGAAATTTTGAGATATTAAATAAAAACATCACCTAAATTGTTGAAATAAAATACACGCAATTTAGTGTATTTTATTTTACAGGACCGTTAACGCCTTATTAAGTATTCAGCTTACTTGTTTTAATTGTAGAGAAAAAAAACGCAAGTTGCCTTTATTTATTTCAAACGTGACATTTGTGTATCCAAATAGCAGCTGACAAAAAAATTCATAAGAGGATGACAAAATTATGTGCAATTAAAATGATTAGAACTACTTTAATTGAGCACCAAATGCACACATTAAACCAGTTGAGTATAACGACGAACTCGAATCTCCCTGACTGCTTTGATTTTAACTACAACGCGTGATGGCAGTACTTAAATTTTGGTGAGAGTCCATAAAACGTTGCTTGAAACCAATTACAACCCTAATCTCGGACGTATCTATAATCTTAAATACCAAATACATTTCACTAACAATGGTTTAATTTTAGTACTGAACAATAATCACGCTAACAAGTAGTGTACAACTTTGTCATGTTTGTAACTTTGTTTAACTAACAAAGTACAGAGATTAAATATGTTTATATTTTTTGGAAGGATAACGTCACTATTTACTTTATGGAGAAGGGTTTGATTTAGTTTGTTTGTTGCTAAGCGCAAAGCTACACAATAGATTATCAGCGCTATGTCCCCCCATAGGTATCGAAACCCGATTTTTAGCATTATAGGCTTTCAAACTTACCTGGGGAGGGGTAATATCCTGTTTGTTATTTAGCGGGGAATAATTCACCGTTTATTTGTTATTAGGGATAACTTGCTGTGATAATATTTTAATTGAGATTGGAGCTTGTGGGTTACTAGTTCTTGTACGAGCCTAGGAACCGAGTATAAGCTTACCTGCTTCTAGTAGAATCTTTGCTCTACTACTCTGTTTAATAGAATATAAATGAAGAGTTAGGGTTTATATTTAACAGTATATTCTGTTGTTAGTAATACCAGGTGGTAAGCTGCAGGTGCTATATTATTGTCCAAAATTACCTTAATTCAAATTAAACAATTATTACTAATAAATACGATAATGTTTTGGTCCAAAAGCTCAACAGTAAAAATTCAGTATGTTTGTTTTCCGTAATTTATATATATATACATACATATACATATACATATGTATATTTGACTTGATAAGATACCGAAAACAAGTGAATTATACTTGGCATTCTTTGCTATTGGGTTTTCTCAATCAAAAATATTACAGACTATTTAACGGAAAAGTACAAGAAACCGGCCACCTCAGTATTTCTTGCTTCATTATCTGTTTGGTTGTCTGTTATATCTGTACAAAAGTCTGAAAAGGAGTCAAAGTAGAATCACACATCCAATATCATGCATTTAGTTTTAAGTTTGGTGTCACATTAAACCAGACGGTCACGGGAGTATACTATAGTCTTTGAATCGGTCGAGAGATCTACCAACGGTACCGTAGGCGTTTAGATTCCCGTAGGTGGCGCTATCGTACAGTTTTAAGTTTGGTGTCACATTAAACCAGACGGCCACGGGAGTATACGATAGAATCTTTGAATCGGTCGAGAGATCTACCAACGGTACCGTAGGCGTTTACATTCCCGTAGGTGGCGCTATCGTACAGTTTTAAGTTTGGTGTCACATTAAACCAGACGGCCACTGGAGTATACGATAGAGTCTTTGAATCGGTCGAGAGATCTACCAACGGTACCGTAGGCGTTTACATTCCCGTAGGTGGCGCTATCGTACAGTTTTAAGTTTGGTGTCACATTGAACATTTAACTTCATGACATTATCTGCATACATGTAATTTTGCCTTTATTGCACACTGAAATAGGAACATCATGCAGTATTCAATCAACCTTTGAATAATCTTTTCTTTTCAATATATCGCATTGCATCCATATCTACAAATCTCTATTATTTTCTCAATTTAACGTTTGACTAATTGTTTGTTTCTTTGAAGATAAGCACAGAACTACACAATGGGTTATGTGTGCTCTGCCCACCTCGGGTATCGAAACCCGGTTCCTAGCGTTGTAAGTCCGCAGACATACCACTGTGCCACTAGGGAGGCTTGGCTAATTGAGTAAGAATTGTAATACTTATTCTTGAAGGAAAATATCTTAAAATCTGTATCATCTTTTAACACCCCTGGTGAGTTTGATACGTTCACTATTTATAATGAGTGAACACTATAACTACACCAATAACTGTGACGTTGTTTACTCGTTCTGAAAGACGATAATAAGCACCATAACCTAAAACTATACAATCACGCAATCGATTGAATAGCTCTCTTCATACTGAACAAAGTAAGTACCTGATCAAAGTTCCACAGACCAATAAATTCACGTTTTAGAAACACCCGATGTTTTAGTCCAGTTCAATAAGTAATACCCGTGCAATACCTTAGCTGATTTGAATATGTAACACTCAAACCGTACACCAGTTAATTTGAATACGTAACACCTAAACTGTACGTCAGATCATTTGAATATGCGCCTTCAAAGTTTAAGGTATTCTCAAGCTATTCAACAGGTTTTAAAATGTCAGCCATAAATAGTTTATTTTATTTAAAAAGTATTAGTTCTTTATTAACTAAGACAACAATACATATATACCTTTATCAACCTATCAGCGTGAGATTCCAGGCTAGTAGATAAAAAGTACAAGTAAATCTCATAAGACTCTGTCAGACTTACATATAAATCACATACAGAATAGTGCCGTTTATATATTGGGGTGTTACAGACGAGTGAGTTCTTTTAGATCAGGCTTCCCTGAAACGATCCTGTCTCATGTGGCTCAGCGATCGATTGTGTATTTCAAAGCGCACGAGACACGTGGGACTGATGGTCGCATCTGCGCTATCTTTACCGTGCGTCGTCCTGAATAAGCTAGAAATCCTCATTACCGTGTGACATAAACACTATCCTACAAGAGAAATATCACTGCATTAATTTAGCTTAGCCAGCATTTTAGAGTTTGCTTGATATTCCCAGAGTATAAACAATTTTTATTTTATTATCATATTAGGAGGAATATTAAAAATCTGTCATGCCAGTTTCTGTTGTAAAATCTTAAGGAGCAATGGGTTTATCACCTAGGAAACAACGAAAAGTATGGCTTGATAGAGGAAACAATGTAAAATAGTTAATTGTTACACGATCATTTCATAATTATTTCTTCAAAGAAGATTACAAATAGCAGTCATAACAAGATAAAAAGTGATAATCATTTTTACACACTTTAAAAAGCAAAGAACACTAAAAATCTTGATCACGTTAACCTGTAGCCACGACTTGGCCATATTAGCCTGGAGTTTCATCGCAATCTTGAACTGTGCAGAAAATTAAGATTTTTTCACTTTCTTTATTTCTTCATTTTGTTTTATTTTGACTCAAGAGTGTCAAGTTTATTGAAGGTCATCTTAACTTGAAAAAGAAAACTAAATAATCAATTTAGATTATTCTTATTTATTAGTTTCTTTTCAGGGATACCTCTTCCCAATAGTTATAGTTCCCCAGTGTGTCTATGGGAATCTCGTAGATTTATAATACTGAAATTTGGGGTTCGATAGTCGCTGTCGGCGTAGCTTTTCGCTTAAAAAGAAATATTTTAATTGTTGTTGAATGACTTAAAAATTGAATAACTCTAGTAAGTTCTATCATTTGTCAATTGTTATGTTACATTTAGCAAATTTAATTTAGTCCAAAATTTCATCCAAAATTTAGTAAGGTAGTTTTAAAACAGCTTTTACGGAGTATTCCACTAAAACTCAAGAAACCTTAAAAAAAATGAGTGACCATTTAGCATCAAAATAAGTTTAAACAACTGTCATATACGGCTAACACAGTTTTCTGTGTGTATTTGTTTTATTTTATATATTTGAAATAAGTTTGAGTTTTATTTTTGGCATTACTGTTACTGATAATTATATAATTTATTAAATGAAGATGACTTATTTAGGTCATGTTTTGTGTGTGTAGCATTGAGAAAGGATTTCACAATATGATCGATAAGTTAATTATTTTAAAATAGAAGATTAAAACATTTCAGGATTAAAAATCTAGATGTGTTCATGGATTTTCCAGAAAAATAAATCTTTAGTCTCGATCCTTGCACGTGTCCTGGGAAAAGCGCGAGTAATGCACCAATAAACAGAACAGTTTGTTGTGCACATGCAGCTCAGTTATGACGCACAGGTTTGAATGTGATGTCATTGTCTGATACCTATAATCTCCTTCATAAAAAATTCGTTCCCTAAAACATTGGCAGAAGTCATACAACAGCTGGAATATTATATCTATATCAGTGGTTCTCAAGGTTTTTAAGCTAACATACCATTTTTTAAAAGTAAAAACCCAGGCCTAGTTTTAAAAAAACAACGACAAACCTAGTAGCAAAAATTAATACTTTTAACATTTAACCAGTAATGGGAAGGATGTGATTGTTTCTTTCTGATACAGCTGAAGAATATTTGGTGCGATTTTTGTAAGTTTGAAGGTCTAATAAAATGCTGGCGAGACTATACAGGTGGAGGGCCAGTCTAGAAGTAAGGAGAGTACTGTGTGTATATATATATATATATATATGCATGAAACTCAAATTGGGATTATTACAAATTTTGTAGCTTTTACGGTAATCTGTTCGTGTACCATCGACATTAGCTTCAAGTACCACGACTGGTAAGCGTACAACAGTTAGAGAATCACTGATCTTGATAACTCATCAATCTAACAATTAACAACATATAAAAACTTAGAGTGGCATTATCTACATAATTAAAATTTTTTATTCCGGTTCAACGGATATATGATTACACACACACACATATATAACCTGTAGTTCAAGGTGGTTTCAGTTCAAGGTGAATGTGTATAAGGAAACTGGAATATTTTCTCTTCTATCAAACTTTTATTTATTTTAAATAAATAGGAGTTTGATAAATAAAGAATAGTTGATGATATGTGAGTTGTTATTTTAATATAACATCGATAATAGATGTACTGGTACGGTTACTGAAAGTTTCCATTAGTATGGATACCGTAATCGACGTGAAAATGAGCAATCACTGTTAAGAATGTTGTGTCATATATTTTGTTAAGGCATTAACTCATCTACATTCACATTCAATATGGTTTTTGCTTCGCTTTTACATTTTTCTAATCAAATTCAAATTATATTTTACAACAGTAATAAATGCAATATCTATCTATCTATATATATACAATGATTGTGCTGCCATGATAAGAAAATGATTTAGAAGTGTGCTTAAAAGTAATTTGTTTGCTGTTAAGCACAAAATTACACGATGAGCTATTTGTGCTATATCCATTACAGGTATTAAAACCTTGTTTTTTATCGTTTATGTCTTCAGACGTACAATTGAGCCACTGCAGGTAGGATTGGGGATTAAAAACGTACAATGTGTGATTTGCTAATTTAGTTTTTGTTTGTAAAACACCTACATTCAAAACCTTGTGCTCTTACATTCAGTTGGTTGTTATATACATTTCGACATCACCAAATCTTCACGCAATTAAAATATTTTTTACACTGATACCTGCTTTTAAAATGTAGGAAAATTAGAATGAAGATGATTAATCCAAAGACGAAAGTGCCTGAAGTAAGTTTTTACGAGCTGGTTTTGTACAGTGGATAGCAATAATGTAATTTGTTTGTTGTTAAGCACAAAGCTACAGGGGGGCTATACCCAACACGAATATCGAAACTCGGTTTGGCAGTGTGAGCCCTCAGACTTGCCGCAGAGCCACTGGGGAGCAATATTATAATTAAGTCCGCTGTAAGGACTAAATATTATCTTTAGATAACTCTTGAAAATGTTGTTATTTTTCCTTCGGATACTTCTATTTTTGTATTATGTTTGAGATCATAAAATAATCGTTTAACCCCATTAATAACACGTTAACCACATTTATTTTAATTTTCTAACATAGATGTAATATTTGTATGTGTTTAAATAATTGTTTTGTCTTTGCATCGTTTTTTAAAAAAGAAATCTAAACTAAAAGAACAATGCAATTAATCATGTTAATGAAACTTTAGAATTATTGAAATGTATTAATATTTTAGAATAATAGCAAGAACTGGGTTTTTGAAAATATTGATTTTTTTTTTCCAGGTTTCTCTTGAACAAAAACAATCTTGCACCTCTAGCAAGTGCCGAAACTCTTACCCCATCGCTGAGGTCATCCTTCGCAAGCATTAGTAACGCCATCTAGGGTAGAAGAACTACTCCTTGGCAATTTCCACTCCTCACTCGACTCAATGTAGAACAGCACATGTCTAAACGTTTAAATAGTATTGTCAGCGGAAATATTCATAATTCGACAGACCACCTGGCGGATATTTTATGAAATTATCGAAGTTAAAACAGTTCAAGAATTGCCAAATCTTCATTCAGAAAGCAACAACAAAATTGTTCAACACTTATCGAGAAGTAACTTATCGAATCTGAAAACATCTATTTTGTTATCTATTAAAATTGTGTCTAAAATATTTCAATTGTTTTTTTTTTCGAAATATTGCTGTTTGAATATCCAAAAATATATTCTGTAAACGATCATCTTTAGAATTTTTATTTCTTACTGAGCAAACTGAACAAAAATGCTTCCACAAGTTCATAAAACAAATGTTTGTATAAGCTAGCTTGTCTGCTGTAAAGAAAACATTGAGAAAGGCGTGTCATTACTTGTTAGACCAACATTTAACTGCTCCAAATCCATTGAACTTTGACTGTTAAGTCGTTTTCTATTGATAAGTTGTGAAATCACAACATAAAGCGCATACATAAATGTGGATCAATTTCTTGAGTAAGATGGATTATCATATTTGTATTATTGATTCAGAACTCACACACGACCGATCAAATGGAAATCCTGGACCTAGACTATAAGCATCATCTGCTTAGATATATATTTGACAAGCTTTCACGTGTTACTTGTCTGTTTATTTGGTAGCGTAAAGGTCATTTTCACAAGATATTTAAAAGAGAAAAGATAGTGTGAATTATATGAGTTATTTGGATTTATCACTCGAATATGAGTGATTAGTAATATTCTACTACCTTATAAATAGTGATTTTGTTTGGAGTTAATTAGAATTGTTATGTATGCTTATTATTTTGCCTTGTATGAATCTGATAGGATCAAGTTAACTTTTGGAGAAGTTAGCTGACTTCTTTAATTTTTTACCGTCACAATAATTGTTGCTGTTAAACACAAGCCTGCAAGATGGGCTTTCTGTACTGTGCCCACAGCAGGAAATAAACTCCAAACAATTAGCGTCATAAGTTTTGAAGCTTGCAGCTGAACTAGCGAAACATTTTCTTATTAGGACTCGCGTAAGGAATTCAAGATTACACAAATGGATACTACTTCAAAGTTATAACTGTGATTCACCTATAAAATAATGCAAACTTTTCGGGGGTTCCGTTTAACATTATTAAACAATTTCTGACTAATCTGGTAAACATTGTATCAAAAGGCCTGTTATATTTTGAACTATGAACAAGTATTTTCAGTAACACAAACTGTCTAAAGTAGTCTCGTTGCTGTGGTTGTACAAATAAAATAGGGTTGTAATAACAGACACGTGTAAATAAACTCTTGACTGTAATATAGCTTATAACGAACAACATAAAGCCACGTGATAACATGTGCCAATGTGTAATTTCTGACTGTCAGAAAAGTCACTTGTAAGTGTTCCCTCTTTGATACCATTAACTCCCAAATTAACCGTAATATATATGTTTCGAAAGTTATATATAAATGCGTGCGTATGTGTGTGTGAGTGCGTGCGTGCGTGGGTGCATAATGTTGGCTAAGAAACATCATATTGATATATTTCCATTTGATATGATTAATTTCAGTAAATTCAACCTGTTAGGGGTAAAAATGAACTGCGTTGGTTTTCATTTCTGTAAACTCAACTGGTGTGGTAAAAATGGAGCTGAATTTGGCTTGATTTTAGTTTATTTGTTCGTTTCGAAGCACAAAGATAAACAATGTGCCAACCACGAATATCAAAACCCGGTTTTTAGCGTTATATGTCTTCAGACTTATCGCTGATCCACTGGTGGGAGCTTGATTTTAGTAAACTCAACTGGTTAACGATGAGCACTGAACTGCACTTCGGCTGAATTCAGTAAACTACATTGGTTAGCGGTAGAAACTAAGATGTATTTGGCTTGACTTGACTCTAAAACGGTTAGTGAAATAAATTTAACTGTGTTAGCTTGATTTCAGTAAACTCAACTGGTTAGTGGTAAATATTCAACTGTTTTTAGCTTGATTTCAGTAATCGCAACTGATTGGTGGTAAAACTTCAATTGCGTTTGGCTTGATTTCAGTAAATTCAACTGGTTAGTGGTAAATATTCAACTGTATTTAGCTTGATTTCAATAAACTCAACTGATTAGTGGTAAAACTTCAACTGTATTTGGTTTAATTTCAGTAAACTCAATTGGATGATGGTAAGCGTTGAATGTGGCTTGACTTCAGTAAATCCAAATGATTAGCAGTAGAATGAAGTTGTATTGGGCTTAACTATAAGTAAACTAATGATTATTAGTAGAAATTAAATTGTGTTAGCTTTATTTTAGTAAACGTAACTATGTAACTGTAGCAGCTGAGTTGTATTGTCTGGATTCACTAAACTTGTTGAGTAAGCAGTAGGAATAGTGCTATAATTAGTTTCTTTATATAAGATTCAATTAGTTATAGGTGATACTTCACATGTATTTAGTTTGACATTTAGTAAAGTGAGCTGGTTAGCTTTGGGGTTAACCTGTGTATTAGGCTGTAAAAATAAAAATATTTACAATAATATATCTAAAAATTTTCACAAGTGTGGATCTGTTTCCTGTTGGAATAAAGAGAAATTAGAAACTTCTAAAACAAAAAGTAGTGTGAACGTTTTGTTATTTATATCAGTTATTTTGTTGTCTGTAGAAATAGATATAGTAATATACATGTCTTACTCACTTTAATTACACGTGTATTTTGTAGAGCTAATACGAACAAATATACAATTTGTAGGAATACTTTTTGTATGAAATGTTGTGTCAGTAAATATGTTTTGTGTGAATTGTATCCTGTAAACCTAGTTATTTCAGTAAACAAATCCCAATATCTTCCACATGTTGAAAATAAAGCATTTGTGTAACGATTTCATATCTGCACGTGTGGCATTTTGCTGTTATTTAGCATTTGTCTTCCAAATCTTTTGCTCTAAAACTTTAAGCTCGATATAACAACAGTACAAAAAATCAAATACTATAACAATATACTAGATACATTGTACCAGTAATAAAAACAAATTGAACACAACACTTTGAGCTTTTGGAAACTACCATAGAGATATTGCTTATGGATTAAAGTTATTTGGTAATGACAGGTGTGGACGAGGTTTTGATTTTCCATTCACAATTAAACACGATTCAACAAGGAGATAAAAAACATGCTCCACTCCTGATGCTACTAAACGTTTTCCAGCTTCACTTATTTCGTAATTGTTGCTGGAATATACACTTGGGATTGTCATTGTTGTTAGGGTTTAAGCAACAGTTGAAATAATCATTGTTACTGCAACTTTCATTTGAAATCAACATTACCGCTAGAACTTGCGTTTTAACAGATATCGAAACATGATTTTATTTGAAATTGTCACTGTCATCAACGTCGACAACAAAATCAATATTGAAACTAGTATGCCCCTTAAACGGGAATGATTGATTTTCTTCCAAGATGGTTCTGTGCCATAATGAAGATTTGACATTTACGTACCATACATTACTAGATGGCTAACTTTTGAAAACATGTATTAAATAGAATAGGTGGTGATCAAACTTGGGAATTGGAGATTCTAAAACAAGTGAAAATAACTTAAGAATATGTGTAATTCGGTTAAAAAAAGGGGGGGATGAGAACAACGAAAAATAATTGTTTGTTTCATCAGTTATTCGCACATAGCTACTCAAAGCCTCTCTACACTGAGAAACTAAAAGGAAGACAGCTAGTCAACAGCGTCCATTGGCAACTCGTGGCTACTCTTGTATGACCGAATAATGTAATTTATCTATCTCCTTTGAAATGCACTCACGGCCTCCAAAGTGTGGATCACGCGACCTTCTTTCTTTTTTCTTCTCTTTGCGGTCAAGGGAAGCCAACGCGAAACCCGTAAGTCCATAGTTCGCTACATCACGCGCTACACTCAGCTTACCAAAGCATTAACTAAACACACTAATATAATGTTAATTTCATAAATATAAAATAGTAAACATTTGAACAATCTTATTTTTGTTTGAATTCAGTTTGTGGAAGTTAAGACTAACAAAGACTTTAACCTTTGTTCTTCGAAGTTAGTCCCACGAATTATCAAATATGTGTGTATAGTTTGAATTCAGTTGATGAAAATTAAAACTAATCAAGACTTTAATTTTAACCTATGTTAAAGTGATAAGTGATGAAGTTTAACAGGAAGAGTCTATTATTATTTTAAGCAAACGCTGGTTTTAATTTATTGTTTGTTTGTTATTAAGCACAAAGCTACATAATGGGCTATCTGTGCTCTGCCCACCACGGGTATCGAAACCCGGATTCTAGCGTTGTAAGTCCGCAGACATACCGATGTGCCACTGAGGGGCATTTTTTAATTTATCAAGGAAAACCCGATTAAAAAAAAGACGCATTCAATCAATCGGAAAAATGTCAGGCTTTCAAAACCTGTAGAATTCCTTAATTTGCTTTACAAATTAATACACACTTCGAAAACATGTATTTTGGAAGTTATCAACCTCTCTATTTCTCTGCTTTTAACAAATCTTAAAACTTATTCACACAATTACCTTATTATTAGATGATGCATGAAACATAATATATATATATATATATATACCTTAGGTGGGAGGGGGTTACAAGCAAGAAATGCTTCAACTGTACTTTATGGCAGCCCTGAAAATCTCGAATAATGCTTAAATGCTTTGCAAGTTTTCATGTGTACGTAGCAGAAAAAAGAGAGCACAGTAAAATATATTAATTTTTTTAATCTTTCATCAGTAAATGCTTCAAAGAAATAGTTTTGGTCTTCCTAGGCTTACTCGAGAAAGAATTATAATTAATTAAACATTACTTCAAAAATTAAACCTTGAGACAGCAAGCTATTAAATATTTTATGACAAAGGCTTAAGAAAATGTTGCATAGGAGTTTATTGCCAAATAATATCAAAATCCTAGTCCATAACGTGGTTACACTGTCAATATAGGAGTATGGCATACCAAGAAAAGGTATACTAATATCTTTTATTTTTACTATGCATATTAAATATGAAGATTAACCCGTTATCTGATCAAATGAAGATAAATATTGAAACAATGAAATTTTGGTTATCCTGACATTATATCTATCTATGTACGTATACTACTAAAGATCACTTATGGAGTCTATTCGGATTCCTATCTGGTTTATGTTAACTGCGCAGACGATATTAAGAATACCTGGAATAGAGCACAAAAGTACCGTTTTTTAAGCACTTCCAGGAAGACATGAGTTTCGTAGTGTTACTGTTTGGTTACGTTATGCTGTGACGGTTAAACTGAGACACACGAACAGGATCATGCGCAGCTGACACACTGACATACTGAGGAATGTGTCCAACATGCGCCAATCACACCCATACTTAGGAAGCAAATAAATTAAGCCTAATAACAACAGATGGCAGGACAGTCTCACGCAGTTTATCAGCATAAAATCCCGAGTTAAAGTTTTCCGCGTGTTAATAATCAATAGAAAACACTAAAAAGATCGTAAATAGAAACACATACACGTTCCAATATCTATCGCCAAGGGAACAGTTCATCAAACAACACCTCGGTGGTGTTAAGTGGATATCTGATGAACGTCATGATCGTAGAATATACATTGTCAGTTTCACCTATGGGAAGATGGGACTGATAATGCATTAAGCGCGACCTCTTTTTTTAAGTTAACTCTTTTACGCTTCAATATACAATTACAAAGGTGGAACTGAAGCAACGCATGGGACAGGACTTTCAAACAAGGAACAGGTGAGTAGTAAAGTTTGCTCATCATTTCAAATTAGCACCTCGTTAAAATTATTTTTCGTGTTGGAATACAAGTTTCTTACGTCTAAGTTGTTTTTTATTTGATGAAGTTTTCAATAATTGATTAAGAAATATTTCTCAAAACTTTTACTCAACAAATTAAAATATAAATCGACCTTATACCAAATAAATATGATAAAAAGCACTTGCAATCATTGAATGTATTAGACCTAAACTTGATTACGTTGGATGTAATTAAAAAATAATAATAATTGGTAAACTAATTAAATGCTTTTTAAACATCTTTGTGTGGTGAAACAGTTGAAAATATTAGAGAAAATATTCCCAAGTTGAATCTTGATTCAACAAACATCATATATTACAAAACCGCAATTTCAGAATCTGAAATACCTAGAAGTTTTCTTTACAATAACTCTGAATTATCACTTAGTATAACCATCTTTTAAGTAAGGTTAATGAGGCGACTATGACAGTAAGTTTTTAGCCGCCACCCTATCTTAACTTTAGCAGCTCAGACAAAGCAAAGTGAAAACAAAAAGTGCACATTGACTGAATTCTTAGTCAAGAACCTCAGTGTGAAGATGTAACAAATATCAGGTAATTAGTTTATGCTACCGTTCTCCTTCTTGAACAGAGAAATCTACCGATGAAGAGCACAGTTATCACAAAACATTGTATGTCATTAGCTGAAAACGAAAATTAACCGTACAAATGAAAAAATATTTTAGTTAAAAAACAAAATAACTTAAGTGGTCAATTCATTCCCAACTTGTGCTTGTGATATGATCATAAAATTGAACATGTAAACGAATTTGTTGTTTGAATTTCGCGAAAAGCTACTTGAGAGTTATCTGCACTAGCCGTTCCTAATTTAGAAGTGACAGAGGGAGGGCAGTTAGTCAACACCACCCACCACTAACTCCAAGGTTACTCTTTACCAACGAAAAGTGGGATTATAACGCCCCCACGACGTAACGGTGAGAATATTCGGTAGCGGGATTCGAACCCACGACTTGTATATAGTGAATCGAGCGCCCTAACCAACAGGCCGTACCAGACCTGAAAATGGGAATTCACTGAATTAAACTGTGAATATATTTTAGCGAGTTTTATTCATGCTCTACTTTTGGGGTCATTAATATAAAAAAAAATTTAATATGAAGTCCCTTTCCGTAAATACGCATAAAACATTTCAGCGAGGCCAAGAAAGCAACAAAATTATAAGAAATAACGTTTGATAGAAAAAGAAAACAGCTAATCAGCATTTTATTGTGAAACGTTCGCATAAATTTGAGTGCCCCAATTTTCCCCCTCTAAACAAAAGTTTGTAAAAACAAAAAGAATTAAATTCTTAAGAAAAAAAATATGAGTAAATACTTTCAAGAAATGAAATGGGTGTCTTTTTGTAAAGGAAAAAAAAGACCTATGACCAAATTCCGATAGTTTTGAATATTACTGTTTACAATTCGAATCACGTACTACAAAATAAAAACACTGTAATATCTGAAAGCATCTGACAAACACAAATAGCATGTGGAAAAATGAAACCTGCAATACGGAAAAATTTTGAAACTCTAAAAATGAAGCCACTATTCTTACTGGTACAAAAACATATAATTATTTTAAAAACTCTATGAGAAATTATTTAAAAAATTCAAGATATTATGAATATGCAATTTTTCTAAGCACACTACACGAATAATTGATCTGTATTGTTGTTCTGTTAAGCACACTACACGAATAATTGATCTGCATTGTTGTTCTGTAAGTATTATTTCGATTCTAAAATATAAAGCCCGATAAAATCATTTGTTAATTTAATAAACTTTATAAGCAGAAACGTAATCGTTTTCCAATTTTGATGATCTTAAGGCTATTTAAGCCAAAGCCTAATAATGCAACTCGGTTCTTTAGACGCAAAGTAAATCGATATTTTTAGTTTTGTTTTATTGTTCATACTCAATAGTAGAATTAATAAATATATACATTGTGTTCAGACGCTAGTTGTGTATTATTCATTATAATGCATATTCCTTGAAACTAATATATCACCTTAATTTCCTGGTGTTAGTAATAAGTTTTTTTTTTCCTTGGAG